ACACACACACGCACACGCACACACACACATACACACACACACACGCACACACACACACACACACACACACACACACACACACATACAAAAATCTCGAGAGACAAACTGTTAGGCTACCAGATTAGTATTCGTGAGATTGCGGATTCGGGGGTTCGAGGCTCAGCCCGGTGCTGTGTTCTTGGGAAAGGCACTTAATACGAATATTTCCATTTGGCATAGTCCTATCGGAGATGGACGTTCAGTTCGGAGTTCCGCCTTTTAAGGAACCTTACAGTGCTACATACAATTTCGGTCAATTTCTCGCATACTGTGTGAGTGTCTGTGTACTCGTTTGTGTCCATGTATACATAGATCTATATATAAAGAGCGAGTGTGAGTTCGTTTCTTGTTTGAAGCATCAGTCAAGTCCTGTTTAAATGAAACCCAAACTCCAATGTGAGAAAATAATGCATTCAGCATGTCAATGATGATAAAGCGTTCGCTTGCCTGGCAAGATATAATAATACATTACAGCAACTTTTGACCCTCTCACTACTGCTTGGTGCGGACTTTTGTTTGTCCTTGTTGTTGTTATTGTAGGTGTATTTACGCTCCTTTCAAAACGTTTCAGATCATTACAATTTAGAAGTCACACTTCGATCGAGGCTGAAAAGGCCAACAAAGGCGAAGAGGGATACAACATCCCAAATGAATGACCGAGATACTCGATAACAAAAGAATTCTCCCTTATTAGGAATTGAACCCGGGTCTCCAGTCTCCTGTGTGGGATAGCGAAGTGCTAACCGCTTCACCACAGACGCCTGTCACAAATTGGCGTGAGTTCTCCTACAGTCTGCTAGGCTTGTCTGGGTGTTGAATCGCTCACCTTCTCCATTTCCTTTTTTCTGGAGGGCAAAACTTTGTTGTTTTAAATAGTCAGGATCGTACACGAGAGCAAGTAAGCTATGTTGAATGATATTATAGTATTATATACATGTATCGCTGCCGTGGTCAAAACTACTGAAATATAATGAAGAAAGAACAAGTTTTATCTACTAGACAATGCTCAAACGTTTATTGCAATAATACGACTTCGTGTGTCGCATGCTAAAATCATGATATATGTACATGTACTGGTTTTGTATAGGTGACTTAATGTAGGCTGTAAGTTTTTGGAACGACAAAATCAACAACAATTCACACTAACATAGACAGTTATTACTGGGGAAAGTTACATAAGCTATGGTCTGACTGAAGCCAAGTTCAGAGTATCTGGAATCGTTTTTATAATGGACAGGTCCGATTCAGACAAAGGCAATACAGAATGGTTTAATAAAAGATTGCTTGATTACTTGATCCTGGGAACAACATTATAGCACTCTGGGCATTGCCATACGTGCTCCGCTCAGAGTCCACCTGCTGATTGTTCCGGTGTTCATTTGGTTTATAGCCCGTCTTTCCATTCCCTGCACCATGCTGGTTCAGCTACTTCTCTGAAGACACCAAGTTCTTCAAGTCGTAAGATTGGTGCATAGTCATGCTCAATCTCCTCATCTCCCAGTGTGTTAGCAATAAAATAAGTAGAAGTTACGCAAAGATGCGATCTGTGTCTAAAGAAAAAAAATCCCCAATGACTAGTTGTACTAATTACTGTTCTTAACAGCTTCTTCTCTGAACTTCCGTAAAAAAGCGCACATGTTACATGTTCCTTGGTGGTCTTAAAATCGATTGATAGTAGGCCTGGGTTAAATTCAAAATTAATTCAGCCCAAATATGAACACTCAAGTTGGATCTAGTTTAAAAACAAAAACAAAAAACACACAGTACCTTCGAAATCGGAATTAGTTGCCCAAATGCAAGGAAACCTACGAAGTGGAGAAAACGGTCTCATACGTAAAAATCAGTTGCACGCAAGTTGAAGACCTATCAGACGACTAGATCTGCCCCTGAGATGTAGCAGGGGAACGTGAAGAAGATTCCACCAATGACACTATAACAAGTCAAAACGATAATTTAACAGTAATCTTCGGAAATACAGTATTTGAATCGGGGCAAATTTGAATCACAATTAAAAGTCTCTAAAAATGTTAATGATAACCATTGATAAGTATGAAAAAGCTTAAATTTGTAGGTTTACCCTTTCTCTACTCCAGATCCACCCCTCCCCAAAAAACCGACTAAAACAGGGCGATTGACGCAAGTGCGCCCGACATTTACAAAGATATACCCAGAGCGTAATACTGAATACGATTTCTTGGAATTTGGCGTCTTGAAATAAACACCTAGATCACAGGAAGTTAATTCAGCCACGTGTGTGTTCACTCTACCGCTCTGACACGACGGAGTTTTAACATTTTGCTCACCCGGCTAAACAGCCATAGTAAGCAACTCTCATAACCATTTGCTC